AATATATATATATATATATATATATATATAAAAAGTTCTCTGTTACATATTAAAATAGAATGTTATTGGCTATCATAGAGATCATAGCTTAGAGCTTAGCCTAGTCCAATGTTTGTTACTGTTTTTATTTGTGTAGGTCTTTCAGGGACGATTGACAGGCAATCTAGTTTTCCCGTTTTCTTTGAGTTAGCTTGAAGACGCCAACATTTCAGGCCGAGAGTCTGTATTTTCAATGTAGCAGTAACTTCATGGTGTTCTTGTTGAGAAAGATAGATGTTTAAAAGGCAAAGAAGTAAGTATGTAAATTATGTACTTATAAGTGAAGCTTTTGCCTTTGTAGTACAGTGCATTAATATGTATGTACATTTTAAACATGTGTGTGTGTGTATTCTAATATTTCTTATGTAGTAGTGTTCTTATCTAACTTTAAAACTTTTGCAAAGCAAATTGTTGAATTTTTCTTAATAAAAAGTGTTGTTCACATACAACATAATGCAAACTTTTAAGATTCCGTTTGGAGAGCTTAATTTTTTTTTAAATAATGTGTTATGTATCATTCTATTAATATATATATTTTCAAAGTAATGTTAAGCATAATTTGTAACACATTTTTCTTGAAAAATACTTAGAAGTATTTTTTAAGTTGTTTCAAGCTTTACATTGGAAGTTTCAAGTGTATTAGTTACATTATTGAGATTATAAAATTTTACATTATTGAAAAAGTTTTGGCATTTTCAGTTCTTGTACTAACATGTTTTTAATATATCTTAATGTCTTTTCCCATACCAGTGATTACTTCAAAACCAACATTACACTGATAGAGGAAAAGATGTCAATTCAGGATTCTTAGATTACTTAAGGATTTTGATATTTCTAGATTAAATATGAGCTAAATCATTACTGAAAAAATGCTGCTAGTATTAAGTATGGTGCAAGGTATTATTATGGCTTTTTCAAGGTTTGTTTACTGACTCTGTTTCCAATCCTAAATTATTAGAATAATTTTGTTATCAACTGGGGGTTGTTTTCCAAAATTCAAAAGAAGCTCTTATTTTCAGACCAAAGTACGACACTTTTGCAAGTGATGAATATTCTGTCTTTAAGATATTTAGCTTGAGAGATTATTCTTACCTTTTGTGATTTAAGAATTAACATGTATGTATACATCACTTCTTTACTCACCACTTGGTGCTGGGAATGCCAAGCTAAGTGCTAGTCACTCTTAGCCATTTACCTTATGTTCCAAAATATATATACCTTCTAGCTCTTTCAGTGACATGTAACCATGAAAAATTTTCATATCACACTCAGTTGAATCATAGTTCCATAATTAAATCTGAAGATGATATTAAGGTATTGGGTGTTGCTGGCTGTGAGAAGGATGCTGCTGCTTTACAAAGTTATTTAGATCAATTAGTGAGTTGGGCAAATAAATTGCAGATGGGTTTTAATTATAATAAATGCAAGATAATGCATGTGGGTTATCATAATTTGAATTATACGTATAATTTGGATGGGAATAACCTTAATAGTGTTACAAAAGAAAAGGATCTTGGTGTAATGGTTGATCAGTCTCAAATAGAATTTTAGGTTGTATCTACAAAAATATTGAATACAAGTTTAAAGAGGTTATAATTTCCTTGTATAGGCCACTGGTTAGGTAACATTTGGAGTAGTGTGTTCAGTCTTGGGCTCCTTACCTTAAGAAGGGCATTGAATAATTGTAAAGGCTTCAGAGAAGGGCTACTAGAATGGTGCCTGGGGTGGAGGGGTTGTCATACGAGGAGAGGTTGAGATCTTTGAAACTGTTTTCTCTTGAAAAAAGAAGAGTTAAAAGGTATCTGATTGAGATGTTTAAGATTGTATAGGGAATTGATAGTTCATGCTCTTAATAGTGAAAATAGTAGGACTAGGGGACACAAATATGAATTTTGGCAGGGTAGGAGTCATTTTCAACTGAAACAGTTTTTATTTTTCTAACATGGTAGTTGGCCTTTGGAATGGGTTGCCTTCGGATGTTGTGCAGGCAGTAGATTTAAGTGAGTTTAAGAGAAAGTTTGTAATATATGAGCTGCTTGTGAGCATACCTCATGAAGAATTTTTATTATGATTTTTTTTCATTGTCTTACCTAATCTAACCTAATAAGTTTCTAATTTTTACATTTTAGTCACTTTTATAACAACAGATAAAGAATATACATGAAAAACAAGAAATATAGTACTTACCTTTGACCTCCTGTTTTTTTTTTATGGTATTAGAACACTAAATTTTTATTTACTTAAATCATGTACCTATGGACACAGAATAATAACATGCACAAAGCAAACAATTTCCCATAATGATTATATTTTAACTGAGTTTCTAACAAGAACAAGAGGCTTAAATTAGTTCCCTTTGCTGCTTAATCTAACACCACAAGATAAACTTTTAAACTGAAGATGAAATTGCTATTTACCAAAAACAATGTACTATTGTATGTGATTTGCTAGACTAAAACTTTTCCTTTCAATTGGTTATAAATGATATAGTATAAAACATCAGAAAGAATTACTGGCAGTTTGTGAAAGAGAGGAGATGGCAGGTAGCAAGTGGATTTATTTTTTCTGGTTTATGGCTCCATAAATGAGTAAGATTGAAGTTTTAGTATTTCATACATTTACTTTACAGCCTACAGTTGCAGAAGTAAAATTTACCACAGAAATTAGATGTAAATACTTATATCAATTAAATATGTTAGTAATCAGCTGTAAATTAATGCATATATACTTTTTTAGTTAATTAGCATTTTACAAGGATTTTTGAAAGTATTGTTTATAACATAGCAGTTACTATTCATTTAACTTGTAACAAACTATTATAAAGCACATTTCCATCAAATTATGGCACAAACACTTTAAAGAGTGTACAAGTTAAGTATATTATTATAGATCATGGAATAAGCATAAACAGTTGTCTATATGTTTTTTTGCACCTGTTTTATCAGTTCACTTCTCTAATCCATGGATTGGGTGTGGCTTAGGAGTTGGCTTGCTAAATTGTGGATCAGTGCATTCGTGATACACATCCTGTTAAAACCAGTGCTATCATAGGTACATTATAAACGTGACAGTCAAATCTTACTGTTGCTTTTGAGTAGCTGCCTTCTCTGTAGTCTTATCAGTTTAAAATTATGTATGGGTAGTGCAGCTATATGCGAATATCTGGAACATAAAAATCTTCTAATGCAGCCAACTTTCCTCTTCTCTCTCCACTACCAGAGAAGACATTTTCTCCCTTAATAAGAAATCAAATCTCAACATGAAAACATTATTAAAACCTGTTTATTTAAATTAACTGCTGAACTTGATGATTCTTTTGGTAAAAAACAGTGAATATATTTGGGCAGTGATTTTGAAAGCACTGTTACATTGATTAAATATTTTTGCAATATGGCATAATTTCTAATTACTGGTAGAGAGTATTTCCAGCAGGAGTGTAACCTGTATTTGATCACCATACATGTAAAATTATCCTTGTATTCATAATAATGATAGAAAAATATCATATTCACTTGTGTTTTTCAGTATCCCTGATGGAAAGGGCTATTATCCAAGGTATTAAAAAGCTCCGCGTTTTAACTCCCTACGATTATGACAATATGGACGAACTCGTCCAAGATCTAGCCAGTGCTCTGGAAGAGACATCATGTAGTAGGATTTCTCCAGGCAAAGGGAAGAAAGGGCGATCATGGAAACGGCGTTCCAAATCTACTGGAAACCTTGTTCCTCTTGGTAGCAGCCTTCCCAAGTCCAGTGCAGTTAGTGGGGATTCTGAATCAAGCCTAGAGGATCGTATGAGAATTAGGATGGATGTGTCGGCCAATGGTTCACATGCTCCTAGTGATTCTGATGAAGTCTCTTCTTTCAAACAGAGGCATCTTGCTGCCTGGCGCCAGTGTCCAATAAACCTTCCTGAGTCAGATTCTGTGAATGAAAATTTTTTGCCGGTATATCAGCATAGAAGGAAACGCAAGTTCAAAAGAATGGCAGTTGACCATCAACCTGATGAAGTTGATAATTCAGCATCCTCATTAGCAGGAGTTTCAGGAATACAAAAGCTTAGACGCATCAAAAGTGTGAGAAACTTAAAGAATAAAGCTAAGGTATGCAAAGTTAGTGAAGATGACATAGAAAACTTGGAAGGAGCCATGATGATAGATTCAGAAGCTTTTGCTGTAAGTGGTAAAAGGAAACGTAGCATGCGGGAAAGAAGTGTAGAGTGCATAGGACGAGGAGAAAGATGCAATTGTCATTCCAAACCACAATTCTTTTTACATTCTCCAGAAAGAAGGTATAGTTTATATTCTGTTAAATATAATCAAAGGATTTTGATGACATGTAATCGACTAAAAACTTTTTTTGAAAATTATTAAAAACAATTGCATTTCCCAGATTAAATTATGTTAATTTTGTAAAGAAAAAAAAGAGTAGTCTAAAGTGTTATGTAGCTAAAAAAATCTCAACTTTAAAAAAATTTTATATTGGATAATTAAATATATATATTTTTAATAGATGGAATTCAACTTCTACATTACTATAAAATGATCAATGTAATTTTGATATTATGGTGTATCAGAGGAGAACTGTAAGCTGTTAAAAATTGTTTGTATTAGAGTTACCGAAAGTAAATGAGATGTTGTTGAAAAAATTTTTATTTCATGTAGGGAACATGCTTGTAGCAGCAGTAGTTTCAGCAGCAGTGAAAGTGATTGTGGAATTGTCACAAATGATGAGGGAAGAGAAGGTTAAGTATGCTTAATACATTGTTTTTCGTCTTTGTTATAAATAGTTCTTCCAAAAGTAGTAAAACAAGTGTCTTTTAATATACTCTTTTGTTTTTCAGTAATATTATCAAAAATATGTGTTAGACTAATGTTTAGACTCTATAGTAAAGTGATGATTTTTTATTTAATTGAGAGAGCTTTTTACAAACTGAAAAGTCAGTAAGTAAAATTTATTCTAATTTTTGAAAGTGTGTGAAAGTTTTGATGGTTCTATGGGATTTATATATGTTCTAAACTCAGTGTAACAATTTTTATTTTATTTTTCTTACAGCTGATGATGAACAGAGTGACTTTTTTCATGAAACTGGTCCCGTATACGGTGTTCCAGGAGGTCCTTCCTGGTGGGAAGAAGACGAGAATGAAGAACTACAACGAAGAGAAATTAAAACACAAGAAATATCTGTTGACTGGATACAACATATGTCAAGAGCAGCAAAAGAAGCATCATATCAAGCTAGAATAGCCAGATTAGCGGCAAAAGTACGTTTGAGTGTAATTTAGTACACAATTTTAAATAAACATAACTTAAACTATAACAAGTGTATTATATGCTTGCTAAAAAATTTATTTATTTTACATAACATGTGTGCCTATTTTTAATTGTGTAGAGACTTGTTAACTGGTTGAATTAATCCTTTCACTATGACCTACTTAAAATGTAAGTAGGTATGCAACTCTTGTGAATGTTCTTTACAAAAATGAAACTAGTGGATGAAATTCTTTTAAATTTGAGATGAAAGGTCCTATAACTATGTAAGATATTTAATTTTGATTTTTTTCTAAAGCAATGTTTTTCTCATGCCTTTTTTTCTTTTCACATGTTTATTATCTAACATGCAAAGTAATTTTCATTTTAAGATAAAAAATACTTTTAAGCATCAGAAAATTTTCAAATATCACATGCAAAATCCTTATAATGTTCAGATACTTATCAAACGTTTCTTAAGGAAAAACTGTATATTTTAACTATTATTGTCACTAACGATTACCTGTATGGGTTCGGTCGATTTTACTGATCATAGCTTGTCTATGTGTTATATTGCAACATTAAAACAAAACTTTATCAGGTAAGCATAATAATAATAGTTGTAATATATTTTAATCTTCATACATTTGATATCTTATGATCTCAGATTAAACTACAGTAAGTTTATTGTCTATTCATTATGAAAACAGTGACAGTATTAGAAAATCACTGGCACTAATAATGGCAGTAGTTTGCATTCAACTTTAAGCTTCATTTATATTCTCTTTATTTTATTTTTTTGTACTTTTCTGTATACAAGCTCATATTAGAAAGTACAAAGTGAGAGTAGAAAAGTGATGTGACATGAGTTTTGATATAAGACCATATATTTACATTTGAAACATGTCAAGTGAAGCTTATCCAGTCATGGAAGTTCATACTTAGGAAACTAATGTATGGTTAGTAGTTTTATGTGAATTATTTTTATTCATTTATCTTTTAAATTTAAGTTTAAATTAATTTAGTACTGAACATATGGCCTTGTTGAACAAGTTTTTCTAAGTTTATTTTTGTGATGGCAATATTTTCAGCCTTTTTTTTTGTTTATGCTTTCATATATTGTAGCCTAAAATTTCAAAATAAAATCCAAGAATGATATATAGATAAAATAATTCTGAAACTCCATACTTATACACAGAATGTATATAAACTTTTTGTAAATTTATTTTAACTGTAGGTAATGTATTACATGCTTACTAAAAACCTCATTATACTACATAATTTGTATGTACATTTTTAATTATATAGAGACATTTTAGCTGGTTGCAATCATAACAATGTCTTTGTGAAACTCGAGATATAAGAATATGGTCTTTTTATTATATATTTTTTAAGATTTTATTAATTACTGAGTGCACAGAGTCACGCGATGTGTGATTATATAACATGCACTTGATTGTTTTGACATGAAGTTTGTGAATTGCTTGACAGTTGGATAATACATATTAAAACTATCACCCATAAAACAGGGAATAATACAATCAAGCATTTGAATTAAAAGGTTTTTTGTAAAATGTATTTTAGAATGGCCTATAGAGGCCTATATATATATATATATATATATATATATATATATATATATATACTATTA